CATGTCATGTCATGTCATGTCATGTCATGTCATGTCATATATGTCATAAATATATATATATATATATATATATGTCGCGTCTAGTGCTACACTCTCGTATTAGCTTAAGTCTTAGATGTCGCTTGCTGGGCTTCGTGCGGGTTCTTGATAGTCTACCTCCCAGCTCGGTGGATGCCGCGAGCTATCTCGCTACTGTGGCGACGCCTGGCGCTTCCTCTGCGAGTGCAAAAACTTTGCGTGAGTTTTGCAGTATACACACGCACGGCAAGAGCACACACTACATGCTGCTACCACTACTGCACAGAGGCATTGCTAAACATGCTGCTCTGTGGTTATGGCTCACACAAATTGTAGACGGTTAATATAGATAGCTGTTGAGCGTTTACCTGCCCTGTTCTCGTCGCATTTGACAGCTAGGTAGGCCTACAGCTGTGGCTCTTAGCGATGGCTTCCGATGAGCCTCTGCTATGCTGTTGCCTGTGCATTCGGGTTAATTCGCCACAGAATTTACACGAGAGGCATCGTTACTTACTACAGCGTAACCGTTCTCTGTCTTGGAACCACCCATTACCACCACCATTCATTACCACCAACGCGAAAACGTACAGTACAGCAGACTGCATCGTTCGTTCTCTCTTGCGATATCGCGATAGCCTACAGAGAGCAGGATCGAATTGCTTTGGCAAGATCTCTGAGCGAGACTATATAGTAGCTGATCGGAATGTCCGGCATTCTCTGTAGCGAGTGCTCGCGAAGCGTTGTGCACATTGCTAAACTCAGGCAAGCGCGTTCGTGTGCTGTGCAGTGCCGGTGTTCATTCGTTTTACTCGACAGCCACGGGAGAACTCGACGATTGGTGGCGATGACTTGGTCTTTAATTGCTACTAATATAATTCATGCGCCGGTAGTGATATTACGTATTTTTGTCGCTTTTTGTATTTTATAGCTTTAATCGCCACATCGTGGCATCGCCCTCAGCCTGCTGCCTGCGTCTATGTCTTCCTAGACTGTTCGGATCGGTGACGTAACGCCGGCCATTTTGAGCACGGAGTAGACAATCGCTTGCAGTGCCTCTGTGCAGTGAAAAGTCATGCGTTCGCACGTTTTATCCCCGCGTTAATACCTCGAGCATTCGTTCTAGCACGAGTTGAGAGCCGGCCACACGCTGTCGCTCTCAGACGAACGCGTACGCGCGCAATGTTGAGGATTGCTTTGTCTTGTTAGTTGATTTCGCGGTCCGGAGGGGTTACCTACTCCCTCCGCGTGCAAAATGAATGCACGTGTTGAATGCACGATCGTTTCAGAAAGATTGCAAACCGACTAGAGAGACAGAGCAGTTTGAAACATCGACGCAGAAAAAATATGTATTTGGCGACTGCTAAAAATGCAGTCCTAAGTGCATACGTGTAGGTATATGTAACTATATAGGTGTGTAGATGCTTGCCGGATAGAAGGCACGCTGTCTTGTAAGGTTAGAGTTTACGTGATGCAAGAGCTAGATCCCATTTCACGATGACTCGATAACTGCAATCATATTACCGTCTTTTCGTGGCCCATTATGGTTGCCTCTAAGAACTGAAATCGTATGGAAGTTTTAAGGAATCATTAGAAGCGATGTTCAGCGTAGAGTCTTGTTCGGCTGCTGAGATATTGTACTTTGTTGTCCAAGTCGATGGTTTCTGGCATCCCTGGAGCGAGTGGACAGAGTGCACGGTGTCTTGCAATGGTGGCAAGCAGGCTCGGTTTAGAGAGTGCGTAGAGGAACAATATGGCGGCGTGCCATGTCGCGGTGAGACCACCGAGAATCGACCGTGCGGAAATGACAAATGTCCAGGTAAGCTATACCTGTGGTGATGGCGCGTTCCGAGATGTCGGCGTCACCATGTCGGCGCGTTTTAATGTCGCGCCCGCTCGTAGCTGCGACAATTTTATTTTTTATTTTTTATTAATATTTATTGCATGTAATTAAAACGCAGTGGCTGGAGGTACGGTAGCCGTCGTTCGTTGAAGCCCCTTTTTGGCGTTAGGGTTAGGGTTAGCGTTAGGGTTAGGGTTAGGTTTAGGGTTAGGGTTAGGTTTAGGGTTAGGGTTAGGTTTAGGGTTAGGGTTAGGGTTCTAGCTCATCTAAACTCTCAAATCGTGAATTTACTTCCCAAAGCGTTATTTCGAAATCTGGCGACCGCCGCCCTCTTTGTCTCGTTCAGTATGAAAGCGAATGGACTCCCGTACCCGTATCCTCGAGACATTAAGATACGGCTACCGTACCCGTAGCCACTGCCTAATTAAAATACACATACTTGTACTGATGACATAGATGATGATATAGACATGAAATCTGATAGATGCAATAGTGTTGAGCGGTTATAATAATAAGTGTTAAAACAGCAGGACTAGACAGACAGTTAAGTGACATGAATGGACATGGGTAGCATAATAGGGCTCTGTGGTCTTTTGAGTTTTTCTATTCTAAATCCAAAGTTACACCTGTACCTGGAAAACACCCATACACACGCCGGACACACACATACACACACTCACACACACACACATACATACACACACACACACGCACGCACGCACACACACACACACACACACACACACACACACACACACGTTACAACGCCCCCCGTGAGTAAATCATAGTTACAGTTGTGTATAACGTGTTCTTGATGCACTGCTTACATTACAGTGGATGGAGTGTGGCGGTCGTGGACGTCGTGGGAGAGGTGTTCTGTCTCCTGTGGTGGGGGCGAAAACAGCCGGAGCAGGACTTGTATAGGTCCCTTCCACGGTGGTGCCGCCTGCGATGGCAACAGTTCTGAGTGGGGAAATTGCAGCTCGAACCCTTGTCCTGGTAGGCCGCTGTATTCCCTTAGCTTGCGACATGCGGTTGTAAAGGTTCCTTGTATTTTCCCGTTGAGTTTGGAAATGTTGGCGATAAAACTCAGAAGGAAAAAAGTAAGAAACGACAAAAATACAATCTGCGTATGCTTACCGAAAGGGCAGTATTGTATTTTTCGGTGTGATAGTAATTGTGTGTGTGTGTGTGTGATTTACTAGCGAGCAAACTCACGGCTTTGTTGCGGTGTATCCTTTCATCGTTTCTGCAACTTTAAACGATGCACTTTTTGAACGTGGCCCGGCAATGCTGAACGCCTTCCTACAGCAATGGCCGCCATGTTTTAACTCATTCGATGGAGTGCCGTGTACGTAGATTTAGATGATAATGGCCACACTATGCTTGATATCAATCTCATACATTTGACAAATAATCCAGTCTATAGTATGAAGTTCTCTTCTTTCAGTCTTTTTATCGATTTCGTTCACTCGATTAAGCGACTCGTTTAATTTCCCCGTTGTCAGTGATATTATGTTCAGTACATCATTCATCAAGCAAATACCGTTCGGAATATATCTTCGTACTAATGGCGTACTTCCGAATACGTCTTCCTAGTTTCTACTAATTGTATGCCTTGCTGCCTAGTTGCGCTGACTCCGCTTATATTCCGTAAATCGTTAAGGATTTTTTATCGTGAAGGCGTTGCGTTGATTCCGCTTGATAGACAGTAAATCGTTAAGGATTTTTCATCGTGAAGGCGTTGCGTTGATTCCACTTGATAGACCGTAAATCGTTCAGGATTTTTTTTATCGTGACGGTGCCATTCAGCGTGGTGATTCCTGTCGTGTTAAGACGCGTTCGCATTGCAGTGGACGGCGCCTGGCTCGACTGGTCCGAGTGGACGGGTTGTAACGTGCCCTGCGGCGGCGGAACAACGAGACGCAATCGCACGTGCGTCGAGCCGCTATACGGAGGTTATCCGTGTCGAGGGGACCCCGTCGAAATCCATCCCTGCAACACCGCCCCTTGCGCAGGTGAGCGAGCACGTCTGTCATGTCGATTATTACTCTTACTCGATTATTACTATTTCTATTCTATTTCTATTCTATTACGAGTTCTATACGATTATTACTCTTATTATTATTTGATTACCGTCGTCGGTTGCATTCAGCTATTGACAATCGCTACTGTAGTTGAGATAAACAGGCAATTAGGTAGGAGCCCTGCTTGGCCCTACCAGGCTCTATGACTGTTTTACGTTACGCAATATGAAGCGAGAAGGTAACTTGTGGCTAGAGCCCACAGTAGCCAGAAGCGTGCATACTTTGAAGAAGACCGATTGAAGATGACAGATAACTTTCTGCATCGGCAACATCACTCGGGAGTGCAGTTCGGCGGTTACCCGAAACGAATACCGAAAGAAGGAATAGCGCCGGATTTTCTGCGACGTCGGGCAATTTATGACATCAAATTTTGTAACGTCAGGAAATTTGTACCATCGCAGTCTGTAACGTCAGACAATTTGTGACGTTATATGTTTAAAGTCAGCAAGACCCCTTTCCTCCTTACTCCGTATAGTAACGATATGTGTGTCCGGCAGTCGACGGCGTGTGGGAGGAATGGACTCATTGGACCAACTGCACGTTGTCGTGTGGCGGCGGTGAGCAATGGCACAGCCGCAGGTGCGAGGGGCCGTACCACGGCGGGGCGGACTGTGCGGGACCAACGAACGTGACGAGGGCCTGCAACACTCACAACTGTGCAGGTACGCTCGTTCGCTTAATATTCACACAATGATTGTTGCACAGTGGTACCGTCGCGATGGTGACGCGTGTAGTCTACTTGTTTAAGGTGGACGTTGTTGTTGTTGTTGTTGTTGTTGTTGTTGTTGTTGTTGTTGTTGTTGTTGTTGTTGTGGTTGTTACTGTTGGTGTCGTCCTTGTCGTCGTCGTCGTCGTCGTCGTCGTCATCGTTGTTGTTTTTTGTTTTGTTTTTGTTTTTGTTGTTGTTGCTATTATTATTGGTATTGTTGTTTCTGTCGTTGTTGGAGTTGATGTTGCTGTTATTTTTGCTGTGTTTGTTGTTGCTGGTGTCGATGGTGGTCTTCGTGTTAATGTTTCTGTTGTTGTTGCCGTTATTATGATTATTGTTATTATTATGGATTTTCTCAGATTTTGCGGCGGAATACAAACTATAATCGTACTAGTCGTCGGGGTTGTTCTGACGCTTAAAATGAGACGTTCGAAGATCAGTACCATGATCGCACATGAACAGACAATGGCACATGTACAGACAATGGAATCGATTACGAAAATGTTTGTCATCGGTATACCGTCTTTTTGCTCGTGTTCTTGACTTGCAAATCTCTCCGTTCGCGCAGTCGATGGAAGATGGCGGGCGTGGTCGGATTGGAGCATGTGCACGCTTGAGTGTGGCGGCGGTGAAGGGCGAAGAAACAGAACGTGCGTGGAACCGCTGTACGGAGGCCGTCCGTGTGGCGGTAGAGAGAAGGAGACACGACCGTGCAACGAACATCCGTGCGCGAGTAAGCTAGCGGTTTGATGGCATAGTTAGTTAGTCATCGGTCAGTCAGTCAATCAGTCAGTCAGTCAGTCAGTCGGTCAGTCATTAGTCAGTCCGTTGTCATTTGCGGCCGCAATTGTTAGCTGATCACCTGTTTCCTGTTCCTATACAATAGAATATAATAACACTCTATGGCACGATTAATTTTCACACGTTACGTAAAAAAGATACGATTTCCCCTTTATTATACTCACCCATCTACCATTCCTTTATTATACTCACCCATCTACCATTCCTTTATTATACTCACCCATCTACCATTCCTTTATTATACTCACCCATCTCCATTCCTTTATTATACTCACCCATCTACCATATTCTTTATTATACTCACCCATCTACCATTCCTTATTATACTCACCCATCTACCATTCCTTTATTATACTCACCCATCTACCATTCCTTTCCCATTTACTTCCATGTTATTCTTCTTCTTTCCTTTCCCTTCACTTACATCTGCTAAACGCACGACTTCCCCTTCGCAGTAACTCAGTTAATCGTGTGCCTTCATCCTGCATACACAGTTGACGGAGTCTGGCGGCCATGGGCAGCGTGGGAGGCGTGCAACGTCTCGTGTGGCGGCGGCGTACAGATGAGACGTCGATCGTGCTTCGGACCGCTGCATGGCGGTGCCGAGTGTCCGGGATCGCCGCACGACTCCCGACGTTGCAACGATCAGGCGTGTCCGAGTGAGTCCGTGTATACATGCATCGATCATTACAGAACGCCGGTCGCGCGCGTATAGAAATAATATCAAGAGCTAATAATACATCTATTATTAGCTCGTGATAATATACTAGTTCTGCTCTATGTATATTTGCGTATATCGATGTATATCAATCTCTACGTATTTCTGTGCGCGAGCACATGGCGCCGCCTGCCTTGTATTCGTCGCTCTTTATTCGCTCGAGCATTGCCAGTGGCGACGGAGGAGTGTGGTTTTTAGCGTATATGTTTCTAACGCGACGTGTGTGTCGCTCTGCAGTCGACGGCGTGTGGCTTGAGTGGGCGCCGTGGGACATCTGCCCCGTGTCCTGCGGAGGAAGCGAGGAGTCGCGCATGCGCGATTGCAACGGACCTTACTACGGTGGCGGCCCCTGTGTCGGAAAGGCTCAACAAACGAGGGCCTGCAACGATCATCCGTGTCCAAGTATGATCTCTAGTTTAGACGTTGACAAGTGCGTGGGGTTACAGCACAGCAGTACAGCAGTCGCTAAAGTATAGCACAGAATGTTTCTAAAAATAACGTAAACCAAGATGAAAAGACATAGTGAGATAAAGAAAATATTGAAATCAGAAATATAGTCGAGTGATCATCGAGATCGTTGCAATGCGTTCGACCATTCTCTGGAAGGGCGTGTCGAATGGTTTCGTTTCTATAACATTAATGTGATATGAAGAGAGAAGTGGAAGTTGTGCTGTAATTCTGTGCATTGTCTTCAGCCGAGGATAGGTCTTGGCTTCAGTTAAGCATTTGTGATTCCATACTGTATCAGTTTTAAGGGAGGATATTATGGTACTTGGTCTTCTACTCACGCCAGTGTTAACCATTTGTAAACCTCCATTAAACTCCATTTCAGGTGTCGAGTAAATCTTTCATTCTGCAATAATAATGAAGTCGAGTATAGTTTATTACATAAGCGCGTATCCCTCTGCAACCCACTCCCCACCACCACCACCAAAATTATAACGGCCGCTGATATGTAGTAGCGGTTTCCCGCACCCGTGATGTAAACCTCTACTAAACTTCATGCAGTCAAAGTGTCGAGTAAATCTTTCCTGCAATAATAAAGTTGTCGAGTCTAGTAGTACATAAGCACGTATTGCTCTACAACACCCCTCCCTTCCTCCCAATCCCCCTCCCCTTCCCCCTCCCCATAACCCTCTCCCCTCCCTCCACCCTCATAACGCGCCGCTGATATTTTAGTACACGCGTTCCCCGGCAGTCGTCAAAGCTTAGTTCCCCGCACCCATGAAAGGCCGAGCACCTATTATATGCTATACGCGTTGTGTGTGTGTGGTGTGTGTGTGTTGCGTGTGCGTGTGCGTGTGCGTGTGCGTGTGCGTGTGCGTGTGCGTGTGCGTGTGCGCGTGTGCGTTTGCGTTTGCGCGTGCGCGTGCGCGTGCGCGTGCGGCCTGGTGCGTGCGTGCCATTACTGCGCATGACACACGTCTGGGCTTGCGGTGCGTGCGTTTGCTCCGACACAGGTGGAGCTCCGCAGCTACCACGCAGCTGGTCGGCTGGGAAGCGACCGCTCCGACACCCGTCGACATAGGTCACTCAGCGGTCATATTCCCGCAGGTCGCCGACGCAACGCGCTCACGTAGTTTCATCAACATTCACACAAAGTCCAACGTGAAGACGTTTTTTTTTCGCTGAAGCATCCAAGTCATATAGTTTACGTCATGTGCTCTATTCCTCAACCGATCGCGACTGACGTCATTTACTCATCACGTGACGCTACTGTCACATCACGCCGCCCTACGCGACGCAGATGATGACGCTGATACTGACGCTGACAGTGACGCTTGCGATGACGCTGGCGTTGACGCTGTTAGTGACGCACGCAATGACGCTGGCGTTGACGCTGACAGTGACGCTTGCGATGACGCTGTTAGTGACGCACGCAATGACGCTGGCGTGACGCTGTTAGTGACGCGACCACACAATGACGTGGCCCGTTGACGGCTGTTATGACGCACAACAATTAACGCTGGCGTTGACGCTGTTAGTGACGCACACAATGACGCTGACATTGACACTGTTAGTGACGCACACAATGACGCTGGTGTTGACGCTGTTAGTGACGCACACAATGACGCTGGCGTTGACGCTGTTAGTGACGCACACAATGACGCTGGCGTTGACGCTGTTAGTGACGCACACAATGACGCTGGCATTGACACTATTAATGACGCTATTAATGACGCTATTAATGACGCTGTGAATGACGCTATTAATAACGCTGTTAATGATGCTGTTAATGACGCTATTAATGACGCTGTTAATGACGCTGTTGATGACGCTGTTAATGACGCTTCTACGATACAACGCGAGGGCCGCCCTTCCTCCCTCCTCCCTCCTCCACTTTTAATTTTTTCTCCTAAAACGAGTCTTTTCTGTCTCAGTCGACGGTAAGTGGTCCAGCTGGGGCGGATGGACAGAATGTTCCACGAGCTGTGGAGTTGGATTCGTCAACAGGAGTAGGGTATGCGTTGGCCCGTTCCACGAAGGCAAGCTGTGCTCGGAGAATCACACGGAAACGGCCGAATGCAACGAGACGCCATGCCCGAGTAGGTTGTCGTCGCAACGACCGCAGTGTGGCGCCACGTGCACGGCGTCGACGCAGGGCGGTTGCAGTCGACGCCGCGTTTGCCCTCTGGCGGGGGATGCTTTGCCGTTCGCTGATCCACGAAGCGCCGCCTGGTGGCCTACTAAGAGATAGGCCGAGCGCTGTTGCCTGAGTGCTGTGCTGTGTTATACTGTGCGGGAAACAATGAGCGAATAAAGAGAGAATCTACGAACCGGAAGAAGCGTTGTTCTGCCTTTTCACGTTTCACGAAGTAAACTCGCTGTCGATCTGTCTGTGTGACCTGTGCTCTCTGTCTGCTCTCTCTCTGTCGTCTGCACCGAATACCTTTCAGTAGAATTCTTGCTGGTAGAGACTTGCTGTGCATCTCGTTGCCAAGCAGCAGCACGTTGCGTGGATGTTCACACGTCTGTCAGTTGTGTGTGATTAGTGACATGTGTCGTAGCTCAACTTGTTATGTCATGACATGAGATCAAGTCCCAACGTGATATGCGGTAAAACGCGAATGACGGTCCGATTTGCGATGCTGTCATCGTTGTTTTGCCTGCCTCAAGCTACGCTGAAAGCTGCGTACAGGAGAAATGTACTGCTTTCAGTTTACCCGAGAATATCGAATGTGCGATGTGGAATTTGATACCGTGACATAATGTTTGATAGAATAAAAACATCTGCATGCGTGAGCTTATTTATCAAATGTTATGGCATAGGCAGATACGATGTCATCAGCGGGAGACGTGGTTGCCTTCACGATGACAATATTTGCAATGACATGGCATACATTCCGATGACGTCATCGAAGATAGATTTAGTAGAGATGATGACGTCATCTGCAATTCCATCTGAAAAAAACAGATGCCACGTCGGCGTAGATTAAAATGACATCATCGTTTATAATATGCTGTATTATCGGGAGTGTATAATAATTATATTATTATTGTGTCTATTATTATACACTTCTGGTATTATGACATCATTAGTGACATCACGTGGCACGTTATCTCTGAAGAGAGATCAATGACGCCATGTTATTGTAAATGTATGATGTCATCGGTTTAGAAATTCAACCACCAATCACAATAACAGTTTTTAAAGCCAAACCTGTACTTCACGCAATTCAGTTATGACATAACAGTTTCTAATCTCTCGTATACGAAGTCGTATTAATTTTTCGAAGTGTAGGCGTATAGCTTAGTGCTCGATTTGTCATCAGAGGATAAAACTTTGTTACCCACAATATGGCGTGATGCCAATTAGTCATGCTAGTAGCCAATTAGTGATGCTGCGCTATTTCGAAAGAGTACGTTTGAGTTTAACAAATGTCACCTTTTTAACAGTCGGCGAGCTACGCTTTTCTACAGTCGACTACACCGAGTTACTTGCCGTGTTACGTTTTCCCAGCGTTACCGACTCGGGCCGGACTAACGATGTTTTATTTGTGTGTACGTGTAGTTCCCGGCGAGTGGTTCGAGTGGGGACCGTGGGGCCGCTGCAGTGTGTCCTGCATGGGCGGGTTACGCTCGCGCAAGCGGGAGTGCGACATGGACTCCTACGGAGAGATCACGGCTCCGTGTATAGGCAAGAAGGACGAGATTGGCGAATGCAACAAGCACGGATGCAGTGGTGAGCGATCAATGCGTGTGCACGAATACGGAAACACATAAATCTGTCTACCAACACACAGACGTCTTTCTGTCACGTAAGAGTCTGCTGATGTCAATGAATCGCATTCATGGGTTTCACGTACATGTGATACTGCTCCTCCACCCGTCGCTAATGGAAGAATTTCGACAATAACCTCTCTCACGTGCTCCGACCAGTCATCATACATGTATACACTAGGGAAGCAGGGGCACCCCCGGGTGAGGCATGGCACGTGATAAAGCCCTCTTTCGGGAACGAGATGACCGCCCCCACCCATTTTAAAGAAAATGTTGAGGAAATTAAACACCTTTTTTCTAGAAATCAAGGAGATTTTCATGTTAAAAATATAGCATTTTTGTAAAAAAAAAAGAAGGAAGAACGAAAGAAGAACGCATGGTGGTACTGACTCGACTAAGCGGTTCTCCTTTTGCGAATTTCTCTAGTAAGGAACTGCGCGGATCTGGTTAACAAGGCTCAGGACGAGGTGATCAGTGGCTACTACGGCATAGATCCCGATCAGGAAGGACCGCTGCAGAACTTCCCCGTCTGGTGTGACACCTTAACGGATCCTACAGGAATCACGGTTATTCGTAAGCCATATAATACTAGTAGATCTCAGGGGAGAGATAGTGAATATAGAAATAAGTTGTGGATATAGAAATCAGTTAACCCTAACCCTAACCCTAACCCTAACGCTAACCCTAATCCTAACCCTAACCCTATCCCTAATTCTAAAATAAAACAAAATTAGCCAAAAATAATAAAAAAATAAATAAATAAGAGACAAAATTAGCCAATCAGAGCCGTCCCCTAGCGGATCACTATCTCTCCCCTGTGCAAAATTTATATAATACAGAACCACGCGCGCGCGTTGACGTGTTGTGACTACTGTCATTTACTGACAGCGACCCGGTTAGGGTTGACAACGTAGTACCGATCAATGTTGATATTGATCTATCTAACTTTATCGATATCTATCGACTAATTGTGTTTTTATCGAAACGTTTCAGATCATAACTCTGAGGAGCGCGATCTGGTCAGAGATTATGAAGGTGCTGGCGAATACCAGCGAGTCATCAAGTATGCGAATGCGAGCCTTGATCAGGTAGGAACCTCGTGCGCATGCGTCAATCTCGCCATCACAGTATGTTTAGAAGACCGAAGGTTCTGGAGAGCGCATACACTCGCTAGTCGCATTAGTGATCGTAGGACGCCTATAGCCGTATTAAATTCCCATGTAGCTTATCGGGGAGACCTGTGTTCGCGGATATGCAGTATCTGCCAGATAAAAATCGTAATTTGTTGAAATTGTATTTCAAAATAAAGAGTACAAACTCTTTCTAGTAGTTAGATATGACCGCAAGGGCTGGGGTTCATCCATCTCGTAGCTTGATCGACATGGATGGGACGTTCATGTGGGTCGATCACTAAACAAATACTAATGTGATCATGAGGCACTGCTGAACATCAATACTTGTCAACCACGTCTCTATCCCCTGATTCATTATTCCCCCCCCCCTCTTGCCTTCCCTACACCGCCCTTCCTGACCACCTAACCTGCAACTCCAGCGGATGTCCGGCTAATCGCGCCGCGTTCTACTGCGCAGGCGCAAGCGCTCGTCGACCTGTCGACGAAGTGCACCCAGTTCGTGAAGTGGGAATGCCTGTCGGCGGCCATCAACCACCCGGACAAGCAACTGAAGCTCACCTACACCGTGAACCGCTTCACGGAACCGATGGACTACTTCGGCGGTGCCGAGCCGGGCAGCAACATGTGCGCGTGCGGCATGTCGAACTCGTGCGCCGTGCCGGGAACCGTCTGCAACTGCGACGCCAACGACAACGTGTGGCGCGCCGACAGCGGCAACATCACCAACCGCGAAGACCTGCCGCTCGCCGAGTTCCGCGCAGGAGACACGGGTACGTGCAGATGGCGCCGCCGTCGCTCGGTCGGTCGGTCGGTTAGGTGGCGCTGCCGTCGGTCTGGTGGCGCCGCCCTCGGTCGGTCGGCCGTTCGGTCAGGTGGCGCGTAGCGTGAGGGCGTGGCGCCCGTTGAGCGAAGGGGATTGCGTGAGCTTTAGCCTCGATCGTTTGAAAAAAATGTTGAAAAAGTTGATGGAAGAGCGTAGATTTTATAGAAACCCCCCGTGCTGGGAACGGAGCGCGTGCTGGCAGGCAGGGCAATGATCCGGCTGAGGGGGATGGTGGATTGTGTGTGTGTGTGTGCGTGTGGTGTGTGTGTGTGTGTGTGTGTGTGTGTGTGTGTGTGTGTGTGTGTGTGTGTGTGTGTGTGTGTGTGTGTGTGT